TTTTCTTGCGACCAGAATGAGGAGCTCCGTTCGCAGCGGAAAACATGTATAGCTGTTGTACAACATTTTCGATTAGACTGATGTAGACAAACAGTGAACGCGAGGCCGCATTATTGACAGATACAAGGAAAGATCAGACTTTCATTTAGAGACCGACGGCATTTTAAAAATAACATTTCTTGACCCCACGAAAAACTGAGATTTATTTATCGTTAAAATAGGAAGTTGACGTGAGCAGTTAATTCCCCTCAATGACACACGAATGTATTCGGCATGCGGCATTACTATTTAACAATAAAAAAAAAACAAAGTATGCGATGTCGTTTTCGCTTATTATGTAATCTGTTCCTCTCGTCATTGAAGAAAATTTTCGCACTTTACTGGACGGAAGTATGTGGGCAGCAGTTAAAGAGAAACTGGAATAACCGCCTTGGCGTGCCTTCAGTCATTAGCCAGATTTCCATGAACAGCTACGTTACGCATCCTATTATGCCCTATCGTTGCCTTACGTGGCCTACCTGGCTGCCAAAAATATCACATAATCTGGTCTCACTACTTTTGATCAACCGACCACAATGGTTCCACTCTCATAACAAACATCGGATGATTTTCTGCTGTTTCCTCTTCAAACGGTGCACTTTTTAGCTGTGTTTAAAATATTTATACTTTCTGTTTCAAGGTAATTGGTTCACAGCTTTCTAGATTTCAACTCTTAGATATTTGAATGCCAACTTTTGCAATGCACTGCAATAGAAAACTAAAAATGATTTGCCGCGATCCCAAACATAGACACTTGCACCAGACTTTAGTGTCGACTTATTGTACCTACCGGCGGTTGGTCTAACAAATGCAATTTCCGCATCAAGTTTCATGTCGCCTCTGCGTCCCAGTGATCATAAAACGTTGGGTTACCGACAGCTTACTTCAAATCTGAATTTAGATGATACTTTAAAATTAGATTTCCGGAGATACGTCAGTAAGCATACGTTTCAAATAAATTTTCGCCGGATCTGTAGGTTCATAAGACAAACTACTGCCTAGGTGGAAGTTGCGGAAGAAGAATTTGTATTTCGTTAACCATACAGTAAGAGACCACAGTGCCAAGTGTTCTGTGTTCTCCGACCGATTGAAACGTTTGCTTAACCCTCTTCTAAATCATTTGCTGGAAATTTTTGCTGATCTAAGAAACCCTGAGTTGTGGACTGGGTTTTAAAACAAACTATACGAGGAGCTCCGAGGAACTAATTGTCAAGCGAAAATCCTTAAAAATGTACCATAGAGCATTAATTTACAAAACGTACAAAAGATACTTAGAAGGTGCGCCCGGACTTTTGGTAAGTATTTCCGCCCGGGTTAGGGTAGACGAGCCTCGCAAGGCTCTGTTTATGATGCTGACTGCCGACCCTCGGATGCCTCAACGCAGCGTAGTCACTGTTCTTCCATATACATGCTCCGTTAAGATTTTTGTGAAAGGAATCAGATCAGCGTTTGATTTCAATCATTTTTCTCGAACAGCTGAAAGCTGAACAGCCTCCTTCTTGATTATTGAAGTGTAGTTAGTTCGGAAGGACCAACAGGGCAGACGCTTTTATTCTTCACTCTCTCCCTCTCCTAGTGAGCTGCTGTGCTAATGACATAACTTATTTGTCGAGAAGCCGGCCTTTGTTTTTCAAGGCTGTACTGATGTCTTTAGGTGTTTGCTTTTCCATTGGCATAAGATCCTGAAATG